ACTTGTAAAATCACACTATCCGTTTAAAAATATAATAATTAATAAATTATTTAGGGTTGTTAAGTTTTAAATAATTATAATTCATTTTTTTTTTGTTTTATGAACTTTAATCTTTATTCTTTTATAATTAATGGGCTTTTTAATTATTTTATTATAAATAAAATTTTTGTTAAAACATTAATTTATTTTACAGCATTTTTTATTTTTTTTTTTTTTGTCACAATTTTGTAAAATTTGATTAAAAAAATTGTGATTATCTTATATTTAATTAAATGATTAATCAGGTGGCCCTTCCTTATAATAAAGTCACATGTTTTATCAAGTCATAAGACTAATGGTAATGGCTACCAGGTAAAATTAGGCCGCCATAATTAAACAAAAAGTTACTGGTAGAGTAATTGGAAAAAGTCAAAAGATAAAAATTATTATTTAAAAATTAATTTATTTTCATTTTGAAAATTAAAATTTACTTATTTAATATTTAATTATGACTTTTTTCCAATTATTTGATCATTTTCAATTCATTAAAATTTTTTTTTTTTTTTTTTTTTTTTTTAATTTCACATTACATCAATCCTTATTTAATTATTATTATTATTTTTTATTTTAAAAAAAAAATTTTTTTATATTAATTTCAGCACTGGGTGCAGCTTATGGAACTGCCAAATCTGGAACAGGTATTGCAGCCATGTCTGTCATGAGACCTGAACTTATAATGAAATCTATCATCCCCGTCGTAATGGCAGGTATTATTGCTATTTATGGTCTTGTCGTGGCCGTTCTTATAGCAGGTTCCTTGGAAACAGGGTATCAACTATTTAAGTAAGTTTTTTCATTTGCCATCTTTTTTTTTTTTTTTTTTGATAAAGTTTATTGTTAACATATTATAATATTACTTTAATAAATGAATTTTTTTCTTTTTTTCAGAGGATTTCTTCATTTGGGAGCTGGATTGGCTGTGGGTTTCAGTGGGTTAGCAGCAGGTTTTGCCATAGGAATCGTCGGTGATGCCGGTGTCAGAGGAACGGCTCAACAACCACGTTTATTTGTCGGAATGATTTTAATATTAATTTTTGCTGAAGTTTTAGGTCTATACGGCCTAATTGTTGCTATTTACTTGTACACAAAATAAGGTTAATTTTTTTTTGTAAAAATTAGTCTTAATCTGAAATATTGATATAATAATATGATACAGCTTTTTGTTTTATTTGTTCCGTTCCATTAGTTGTGTTTATTACAAAAAGTCCCTTTTTTTTTTCTTTTTTTTTTTTTTTTTTTTCATATATAATTTTCATTATAATCGATTATTTTATTAACATATTAATGCAATTATTAATTAAAAAAAAAAACTTTTTTTTAAAAAATAATTTATTCGGTTTTACATATATATTGAAATTTTATTATATTTTATTTTTTGTTTTTTTTGATTATAATGTGTAAAAAGATAAAAAATATTTACTTAAAGTATATATATACATACATATACATATATACACACACACACACATACATATATATATTTCTAATAATAAATAGCCTAATATGGCTAAGCATGTTATGAAAGAATTTTTAATTTAATGTAGGCTTTAATCGAAAAAGTTATGTATTATAATAAATTTATGTATTTATGTATCTTTCTTTATTGGAATTTGAAAAAAACCGAGAGAGAGAGAGAGAGAGAGGGAAAAGTTTTTATTAACTTATATCATCATCTTTAAAAAAAAAATCATAAATAATGAGTTACCCTTATTTTTTTTTTTTTATGTGACTTTTTTGTTTTTTGTAACTGTTTTTTTTTCTGGTAAATATCCGAGGGTTTTTTTTTTTTTTTTTTTTAATATGAAAAATAACTGGCTGAAATATTTTTGCGTGTAATTTATTTTACTGGGTTCATATTCTCAACGAATTTTGTTGTTTTTTTTTTTTTTTGTTTTTCTGTTATATATTACAAATTGTTTCGGTTTTAAATGGAGATTTATTTTTACAAGTAATGGGAAAAAAAAAAAAAAATTCAATTCGATTCATTCTTCATAATTATAATTGATTTATTTAAATTTTTATTCGAGTAAATAATAATAATAATAATAAAATTGGGGTTATAATTATTTGTTTTACATAACTTTTTTCATCAAACAAATGTTTTAATTGAAAAAAAAAAAGTAAATTAAATGTTTTTGTTAAAATTTTGGCTTTCATTTAAAGAGATTTACTGCCTCAAAATTTTTTTTTTTTTAAAATTATTTAATTTTACAATAATTATTTACACAATCGAAATGGATTTATTTATTTGGGAAAAAAAAATAGTTTTATTATTTTAAAACTAGTAGAGAATGGAACAAACAAAATATTTAAAGTATTTAATTCGATAATAAAAAAAAATAATAATAATTAGAATAGGTCAAGTTTGGCTCGAATAATTTATGTAAAAAAAAAAAAAAAAGTAAAATTTTTTAAAATTATAATAAGTTTATAATATTCCAAAAAATTTTTAAAAATTTAATTTTTTTTTTAATAGTTAAAAATAATTATCTTATTTTTAAGCATTCCAATAAAAATAAAATAAATTAATTAATTAATTATTAAGGTACTACTTTGTAAATGTTATGCTAAATATTTAAAAAAAAAAAATATTGGAAATGATTTAGTGATGGTTTAGTTCTTTTATCATTATTATTATTATTATTATTATTAAATTCATTGATGGAAAGTTATTATTTATTTATTTCAATAAAATTATATTGATGTTTTTTTTGTTTTTATTATATTTTACCTTAAAGTACATAAGTTATTATTATTATTCTTGTAATTGAAATTTATCATAACATATTCCAATTCATGGTTCGAACAAAGATTCATCTAATTAAGATAAATTTGTTCATAAAATAAATTTTTTTAATGGAAAATTGTTTGGAAAATTTGCATTAAGTCAACTAAATCAATAAATACATGTATTTTAATTTTATTTATTAAATTAAAATCAATAATCCATTAAGTATTTCATTTTATATTTTAATTGTTAATATTATTAAATTGTCTTGTTATAGAAAAAAATAATTTGTAATTAAAATGACATTTTTTTGCAATATTATCAGAACAAAAGTAGTATTATATAAAGTTTGAGATAAATATTTATTTAGCTTTAATTTATAAAATTTAATTTTATTTAAAGAGAAGATCAAATTTGATTTCTTAAAAATGGAGGGAATTTCAAACAGATATAAATTGTGTCCATTACTTGGTCCCTATTTTTTTTTTTTTTTTTTTTTTTTTGTTTGTTCTTAAGAAATTATATCTTTTCTTGCTGTTTTTATATTTAAAAAGTTATACATAAGTTTTGTAATTATTTAAATTAAGATTATTAATTAAATTAAATGTATATTTTATCTTAACAGTTAAAATTAATTGACCTTGTGGTCTATGGTTTGACTGAGGTTACAGTTAGTGTTATTGTATTATAACTTGTTATTTCTTTTTAGATATTTTTAAATGAAAAAATTTTTTAAAAATTAAACTGATATGGCTTTAAATTAAAATCAAATGAAATTTTCATATAAGGTAATTTTTTTATTTCCGACTTATTTTTATTTAAAATAATTATAAACACGTGTTTTAACTCATACAGAATTTCTAACCTCAAAATGGATATAAATTTTTTTAAATTATTTGAATTATTTTTATTATGTCTAATGATTCTTTATTTTTTTTCTTTTTTTTTAGTTTTCAAACCTTCTCGGTACTGTGTACCGAAAAGGTAATGTAACCTTTTCACCTGATGGAAATTCAGTATTCAGTCCTGTGGGAAACAGAATTACAGTATACGATTTAAAAAAGTAAGTATACATGTGAAGTTTAAGTTTATTAAAAATCATTTAAATAATTAAACTAAATTTTTAATCTTTAGTAAAAAAATAATTATTTGTTTTCTTGACTTGTAAAAAATTATGTGTCATAAATCCTCTATTTTTCTTTTTAGCAACAAAACACAAACTCTGAGTTTTAACAGTAAATATAATTATGAATCATTTGACATATCTCCGAATGGCCTCCTGTTGGCTGCTGTTAATGAACGAGGAGAAGCTCATATTATTAGTTTAATGAGTAAAACTAAAATTTTTCAATATAGATTTAAAAGGAATGTACCTTGTATAAAATTTAGTCCAAATGGAAACTATTTGGCTGTACTTAAAGGAAATAGTGGTAGACTAAAATAAATATTTTTTTTTAAATTCAATGATTTGTGATGTGCATATATATTATCATGACTAATTTTTTCCAGCATTTGTTTTTAAAGTCCCTGGATCTTTTTCCGGAGAATATAAAGGATTTGAAATGATTAAAGTTTTTCACTCCGCCCATGATCTTACCACTTGTTTAGACTGGAGTTCTGATTCGAAAATTTTAGCTGTCGGTTCTGCAGATATGATTGTTAGGTTGTATGCTGTCGAAGCTGATTTAAATTTCAATCAGTGTTCTTTAGGAAGTCACAAACACACAATAATAGCATGCTTTTTTGAAAATAATTCATTGGATGTATCAACACTTAGTAGGTAAATAAGTCATATATATTTATTTTTACTTCTTGTCAAATACACTCTAAGTATACAATTTTATAAATTTTTTTTTTGCTTGTCTTTGAAAGTTATTGTTAAAAAATTTTTAGCGATGGAACGCTTTGTGTTTGGGATTGTAATACTGATCTTGAAGACTTACAATATAATTCTACACGTCCTAAAAAATCAAAAATTTCTAATGGGGAAAAAGACAGCGATGATGAATTATATGAAAATAGACTAGAAAAAGATCCTGAAGATTTGGATAAAAATCTAGTTGATAAAGGTATTTTACATAAGCTTAACACTTATTAAATGAGCAAATAATTTAATTTAGGAATTAATTAATTTATATTTTGTGATTGAAAAATAAATTGTTATATAATTGCTTACATTGTAGGAGATAAAAATTATAACAACGAAGATGAAGATGACGATGATGATGAAGATGAAGAACATAGAAAAAATAAAATTTTTTACAAAAGGCTTTCCAGAGTAAATTTATGTAGCACTTTGAGAAAAGACGATCCAAATGTAAAATTAACTTCTGCTGCTTATCATAAATCTACTCATCTGTTAGTGACGGGATATTCAACAGGTTGCTTTTTTCTTCATGAACTACCTTCTGTGACTATGATACATTCTTTAAGGTATGTATAAATTTGTTTTTACTGTTTCATTTGTTTTATAAATTTGTTATTTATTTTATTCTGTTATAAGTTGCTATTAAGTTTAAAAATACCATTCATTATAACTTGAACAAAATTTTATGTTTATCGAAACTGCAGCATTTGCGATTATGAAATAAATGCTATAAGTCTAAATAATTCTGGTGACTGGATTGCATTAGCGAGTAGTAATTTAGGAAATTTATTAGTATGGGAATGGCAAAGTGAAACTTATGTAATGAAGCAACAAGGCCACACTAATAATATGACCTGTTTAAGTTATTCACCCGATGGAATGTATCTGGCAACTGGAGGAATAGACGGAAAGGTATTTACTAACTTAAATTAATTCGAATAGCTTGATGAACATTTTCTTCTAAACTTCACCATTCAATTCTTACTTTTAAAATAAATATGAACTGATTAATTAATAATTTCAAACCTTATAGGTTAAATTATGGAATACCAATTCTGGATTTTGTTTTGTTACTTTTACTGAGCATTCGAATAATGTCACTGATGTACAATTTAGTCCAAATCGTAATTTTGTCGTTTCTACTTCTTTAGACGGAACCGTTAGAGCATTTGATTTAAACAGGTCTGTAAGGTTTTTTTTTTTGTAATATAATAATCTATAAACTTATATTGTTGAAATTTATTTCATTGAAAATTGTGCACTAGTTTTCATGACAAAATATAAGGGAAAACTTTGGTAATTCTCTAAAAATTTTTTTTTTTGTTAAATCAAACAACAGGTATAGAAATTTTAAAACATTCACATCACCAACTCCGGTGCAATTTTGCTGTGTTGCTGTCGATTCAAATAGTGAATTTATTGCTGCAGGCGGTCAAGATGTTTTTGAAATATATTTATGGTCTTTAAAAATTGGAAGGCTTTGTGAGGTAAAAAATTTTCAATTAGTAGTTTAAGTTATAGTTTAGTTAGCAGATTATCAAAAAAAAAAAGATGATATGTGAATTTTGAAAAAAAAATTCATTTAGATTCTTACAGGACACGAAGGTCCCGTATCCAGAATAGCTTTCAGTCCTGTTTTGGGATCTACATGTTTCGCATCAGTCAGTTGGGACAAAACATTAAGACTTTGGAATGCAGTGGATATAAATCAAGAAAATGAAAGTTTTTCTATTGGTGGAGATGGACTGGCAGTTGCTTTTAGGTAACTTTGAAAATGTAAACATTATAACCTTCAAAATATTAATGTTTAATAAAAATTTAATGTTTTTTAATGTTAGGCCTGATGGAAATGAAGTAGCTGTGGCTTCCTTAGACGGACAAATTTATTTTTTTGACATTAAAAATAAATTGCAAAGTCACAGCATCGAAGGAAGAAACGATTTGGGCAGTGGAGTAACAGACACAGATGTAATATCGGCAAAAAAAAATCTTTCTTCCAAGTAATTAAATTTTTAAGTATTTTTAACAGATATTTAACAGTTTTTTGTTTTTTAAATATTTCTAGTAATAACAACTGACTTAAAAATTTTGGATTTAAAATAATGCATGTTAAATAATGATATTTAATGTTGTTAATATTTACGATAAATATTTTTCAGAGGATTCACAACGTTATCGTACACTGCTGATGGATCTTGTATTTTAGCCGGAGGTCATTCGAAAAACGTTTGCATGTATAACGTTAAAAACTCGATTCTGTTGAAAAAGTTCGAAATAACAGAAAATAGATCTCTTGATAACATGGATGATTTTATTAATCGGAGGAAAATGACGGAATACGGTAACATTGCTTTAATTGAAAGAAGAGAAAATTCTCAAGTTCAAATCAGGTTGCCGGGTGTACGACAAGGAGACATGGCGTCGAGAGCTTTCAAACCGGAAATTCGAGTGTTTTATTTGGAATTTTCACCCACAGGTAAAATAATAATTCGTTATCGAGTGTGATTGTTTGCATGTTAAACTCACTTTTATGATTTCAGGTCAATCCTGGGCTGCAGCCACGACGGAGGGTTTAATAATGTACCAATTAGATTTAGCTTTAGTATTTGATCCGTTAGAATTAAAACTTTCCATAACTCCTGACACGGTTCAAAAAACTCTACAAGAAGGAGATTATTCTAAAGGTACGTAAAAAAAAAAAATATTTTAATTAAATATATATAATTTTTTTAATTACATGATTTTTTATCTTTTTTTTTTTTTGCAGCTTTGATGATGGCTGTTAAATTAGGAGAAACTCATTTAGTTCAAAATGTACTAGAATCCGTTCCTTATTCGGATATAGAACTTTGCGTTGCCAGCATATCTCAGGTTTATGTGATTCGATGTATGAAATTTATAGTTTCGCTTCTGGAAAATTCTAAACATTTAGAATTTTATCTTTGCTGGATAAAAAATATTTTAACGATTCACGGATCAGCAATCAAAGGAGTCGATTTTATCCCCGTTTTATTAAGTTTACAAAAGAATTTAACTAGAAATTTTGATGACATAGGGAAATTGTGGGTATCAATTCAAATACATTTCTTAAAATCCATTTAAATCTTTTTATTAATAACCGAAAAAAAAAAAAATAATTTTTCAGGTGTGATCATAATAAATACACAATCGGATTCTTGTTGAAAATCGGTAAATTAAAAATTAAAAGCAGAAATTTGTCAGAGGATAATAAAGAAAATGAGGATGTTTTGATGGAAAGAGTGATTTTACATTGTCAGTATGTTTTAATCGAATAAACTATTTTTTTTTTTAATAGTAATTGATTTGTTAGATTGTTTTGAAAATTATTCACCTACATAAATAATTTTATTTTCTTTAAAAAAATTTATTTAAATGGTTAATGACTCATAAGACAAACGTTAACGTTCAAAAGTTTCTTTTTTTTTTTTTTGTTCGTAGTAAACACTTATTTTGTTTTAAAAGTTATTAAAAATAATTACTAAATTATTTATTTATTTATTTATTACTTGGATTAAAATTAGGATTCATTTAAATGAAAAAAAATTAAAAAAAAAGGTAAGTAGAGTAAGTTTTTATCATGTTTTTTAATTATCTAAAATCAATGTTCTACTTACAAATGTATACGTATCAACCTGTTTCAAGATGGCGGCTGCCTAGGTATACACGTTAATTGTTTTTTTTTTTTTTTTGGTTTGACGAATTGATATTTAATTTTTTGAATTAAAATATTATTTACAGGTAAGTTAAGTAATAAAACTAAAATTTTTTAGTAAGTTTTAAAAGATAAATTTTTATTTAAAAAAAATAGTTGAGGAGTATTTGTCATTTATGTCATAATAAAAAAAAAACACATAAATGTTTGAAACAAAAAAAGAAGAACAGATTTTAAGTACTAATTATTTTATATTTTACTTTATTAAATAGTTATTGATAAAAATATTATTTCCATTGATTTGAAATAATTTATTTTATTGTTTTATTTTTCTGTTAAAGAACACATACATCAATAAAACTGACACAAAGAAAAATTAAAATATTAATAATAAGACAAAATAAATAAAATGCAATTTTAATTTTAAAAAAAGAAGAAAATAATATTGTAAATTATTAAAAACATGGCGAGATACTTTACCGAACAAGATATAAATGAATTTAGAGAATGTTTTTACTTATTTGCAAGAAGTGGGAAAATAAATACATTAGATGAATTGACAGTTGTCATGAGATCCTTAGGGATGAGTCCCACAATTGGAGAGCTTAATAAATATTTAAAAGACAAAGGTGGGAAAATGTCATTTGCCGATTTTTTGGATGTCATGCATGCTCATAGTCAAGCAGAAGATTTACCAAAAGAAGTTATCGATGCATTTTTAGCAGGAGATTTAGATAAGAAAAAAACAATATCTGCAAGACATTTAAAACATTTACTTTTGTATTGGGGTGAAAAATTAAGTCATAAAGAAGTGGATCAAATATTTCGTGAAGCAAACATTAATATAAATGGTATGGTTCGATATGAAGATTTTGTTAAAATCGTTTGTGCCCCTGTTCCAGATTATTACTGAATTTTTTCAACCATTTATATTATCATTTATTATTATTATTAATAGTTTAACAACTTCAGTGTCAATATTACAGGATTTAAACTACAAAAAAAAACAATTTTCTTTAAAAAAAATATTATAATCATAATGTTTAAGTAAAAAAGAAAACGTTAATACTTTTAAAATAAGTTTGACAAAACAAAATCGGTACAAAATTTTTTTTTTTTTTTTTTGTGCAATACATAAAAAATAACAAATAAAATTTAAACTAAAAAAATTTATATTAATAATTAGTATTTAATTTTATGAGATTAACAAATTTTTTTTAAATTACTGTTACAGTAGAAAAAAAAAAAAAAATTATTTTTTAATGAAGATATTATTAACTAAATAACATTATTAAGCCAGCAATTTTTAGTTTATAAAAAGCAGTGCGTTTTTTAACCATGTTTATTTTAAAAAAAAAAAAGCATTAATTCAACAACAATTTTAAATTTAGTTAAATTTTTATTAAAAAACAAATTAATATAAGCAAAATATTATTTA